AAAAAAAAAAAAAAAGAATAAAATAAAAATAAAAATAAATCTCTCAAATTAGACATTTAAGAATTTTTACCCAGATATATTTCCATGCTTTTGCTTACCTTTTTGGATAGTTTTCTTATTTTTTGAAATACTGTATACCCACAGAGAAAATCTGCTAATGATAAACTTCTTTAGTTTTTGATAATGTGAGTGTCCTTTCTCTTGAGTAACTGTTTTTCAAATTGTGTGCAAAATTCCAGGCTGACTGTTAACTTCCCTTCAGCACTTGAAGTGATTTTTTTTCCATTATCTTCCAGCTATCCTGGTTGCTATTAGTTTGCAGTATTTTGTAGGTCTTCTCTTTTTTTCCTGTGGCTGTTTTGCATTTTCACTATGATGTGTTTGGGGCATAGATACCAAGGTGGCTTGTCACCACAAACTGGCTAGGTTAATTCCTGGGTTGTGTGCCCCCTCCACCCACCCCAGGCTTTGGACAACATCTGATTTGGGTTTCACCTCAGGGCAGGCAAGGCTGGAGGGCTCAACCTGCAGGAGGCTCACTAAGGCCTTTTATTGCTCTGTCCCCAGCATCCCTCCTGGGCCAGACTGGGTCTGAGCTTCCAGCTCCACCTCCTGCTTCCCTGGCCAGTGGGCTGGACCCAAGGCCAGCACATCTTGATATAGACAGAGCTGGGTTCTTTCTGTGGCACTTGGGTCTCTCTCCCCCCACCTCCACTGCCATCCACTCTGGTGTGAACATGGATCAGAGGTTATCATCTGGCCTGGCCAATGGCTACTCTTCATGACCCCCTGATCCACTCTAGTCATGCCAGCCACTGGGCCTGGCCCTCATTGCCTCTGCCCCCTTCCTCACTGTTCCATCCCTCATAGCAGTTAACACTGTCACTACATCTTTCATGTCCTTATTGCAGTCTCTGCCTCCAAGTAGGCTCTGGGGGCAGCGTCTGTATCAGCCTCATCTGCTGCCATGTCTTAGGAGCCCACCTGCACAGCTCATTCAGACAGATATTGCTAATGGAAGGAACGTGGGCTGGAGGCCCCTGCAAACTCACTCAGCTTTGCTGGGCTTGGGGTCCTGGGCTTCCGCTGCATCATACTCCCGCAGGTCTTTCAGCTCACGCACCTGGCCCATCAGCACCTTGGCAGCGAACGCCACAATGTACTGTGGAGGGAAAGGCCTGGGTGAGAAGGAAGCCCCTTCCTCTGCCATGGGGGTCTCCTGACAGCTGGGTGGGTGCTCCTACCACAGGTCCTTTGCACCTGGTGTTCCCCATGCCTAACATGCCCCTCCCTGGCCTACCTGAGAAGGACCTGTGACTACACTGCTACCTCGGGACAGGGACAGTGATAGGGTGAGCTGACTCACCAGGAACCAGTAGAGGTTCATGAGGGTAAGTGACAGCAGGAGTGTGTTGAAGAAGAAGTAAAAGGGGATGTCAGGCACAGAACGCAGGCTGCAGTGGCTCGTGGCATACAGGACCTTGAGCGGGAACCAGTAGAGGCGGAACCAGAACCTGTGGAGGCAAGGCTGGGTCTGGAGACCATAGGTGTAGGGGATCGTGGCCTTTCTTGTCCAATCCTGGAACTCATCCAAGTGCCATTGCACATCCCTACCCATCTCTGTCCCCTTGTCCTATCCTTGCTCATCCAGGCCCATCTACCTCCACTCCTGCCATATCCTGCCCTGCCCAGCCCTGGTTCTTCTTCACTCAGGCCCTTTCCATGTCTGCCTGCCCCCACCTCAGCCCTGCCAAGTTACAGTCAAGACTAGCCCCATCCACCTCACTTAGTCCCTCCCTGAGACCCACCCATACCACTAGGCCCCACCCCAACCCCCCTCACTGTTGGTTATGCTCCTATCACGGGGCCACTTCCTTTTCTGCCTGGCCCTGTCTCCTCCCCACCCACTCACCAGCTGAAGCCGAAGCTGAGGCAGCCCAGGTCTGCTGCCAGGGCATGCAGCCCGTGGTAGGAGCCACCACGGGACTTGAAGTAGATATTAAGTTTGGTGAACTCGAGCTGCACATCATTGATATCGTGTAGGAAGAGCACAAGGATGCCCACATTGTGGTACCTGGGGGAGAGGAGGGAGTGACTCACTGGGGACCCCTACTCTGCACTAAGGTCCCCCAGTCTAAACTCTAGGCTCCTGATGGGCCCCTTCAAAGCTGCCTTCCCTGGCTTACCTGCCCTCCCACCTTCCTCCCCAGGATACCCTCTCCTCACCATTCCCACCCTACCACACCCTCATCCTGCCTTACTGTCCCCACATGGGTGAGGAGCCTCCCTGGAAGTTCCTTCTTGGCCCTGCCTCATCTCTGTGACCTCATCCACAGTGAGCCCCAACTCTCACAAGCCTGGACCATTCTGTGTCCAGATCCCCCAAAAGTTTCCCCCCTCCCTTTGGACATCACCACCACATTGACACTCCCAGATGTGTACATGTAGCCTGAACATCATTGCAAGTTACAGACTGACCTAGGAAAGGCATGGGCCATGGGCGGGCTAGGATCCTTCCGTCCCTCCCCAGAGTTACCACCTGACAGTTGCTTGGCCAAAGGCTTCTAGATTCAGCCTGGACCTGGCCAAGTGCCTCCCTATCACCAGGTCCCTGCTCTCACTCTGCTTCCCTGACTGATCCTGAGCTCCTGCACAGGCCTTCTGCACATGCCCTTCCCTGGGTTCTCATCACCTCCTGTCACTTCTTTCAGCCTTCATTCATCTGGTACCCCAGACCACCCGCCTAGACCTAATAATACCCCCCTGCAGGGCTTGTTCTCTGACTTGACTTTTCTCCATAGTTCTTACCACCTTCAAACAAACTCTTCCTTCTTTCCTTCCTTCATTTTTTCCTTTTTGGTTTTATTATCCAATTGTACCCACTAGAGAGTGCTGACAGAGTTTTCTAGAACCATGGGAATATTCTAAACTTGTGTCATCCAATACAAGTGCCACCAGTCACATGTAGCCACTGAACACTTGAAATGTGGCCCATGTGGCCGAGGAATGGAAATATGTGCTTTTATTTAAGTGCAAAGGTAAAACAGAGGTAGCTAGAGCTGCTAGTCCTGTAGGAACCAAATGTGAGCAGCATATGTCCTTTTAAAGTTTCTATCAACCACCATTTTCTTTTTTTTTTTTTT